GAACAGAAAAAATACACTATGTTTCAAATGTCACATATGATGATGATCCATCGACATTCACTTCAAACCCCTTGCTTCTTGAAAAATAACACACACACACACACACACACAAACCATGTGTAGCATTTACGAAAATACATTCACCCTTCTTGCATAAACAACAAATGTACGAATATTCTGACTAGTATTAGAAATGTACCTTCTTGGCATGCGACGAATGACAGCATCATCAAGGTCAAAGGGCCTATTTGAAGCACCGAGAACAAGTATTCTTTGGCTGTCATTTGAAGTTAATCCATCCCAACCTGACATAAATTCATTCCGCACTTTTCTCATTGCACTACTCTCGTAAAGTTTACCACGAGCACCAAGCAAAGCATCAATCTGCCCACAAAAGCACCAAGTATAGGTTTTTATATCTATTAGATTACAGTTCATGCATCATGGCAGTGAGTGCAAATTTATTAATCAAATAAAAATGTTTACAACGGTGCAAATATACTTGTAAATTATTCTGAGTTGGATTTCTCTCCTACGTTTAGTTGCCTAATTTAATTTAATTTTATATATGGAAGAGCCCTTGCCAGCTCAAGTGCTACATTGCTGCAGCACAAGTCAAATTAATTAATTATAGCTTTAACCTGGATTGAATTCACTAATTTCACATAAAATATTCAAATCAGTAGGACATCTGTTAGAGAGAGAGAGAGAGAGAGAGAGAGAGAGAGAGAGGAATAGAATGCAATGGCACTTACCTCATCCAAAAAAATAATTGTAGGAGCCAACTTGACAGCCAAGGTGAATAGAGCCTTCGTAAGTTTTTCGGATTCCCCATACCACTGCACCCAAGGAAAAAAGAAGACGTTGACTATGTTGGATGAGTCAAGTAAAGGATCGAATTGTTCCAAGGCATTCACTTGATTGCTTCTCCTACCATAGATCCAAGGGATGAAGGAGTAACATTGATGAAATGGGCCCCTGCTTCGGTAGCCAGAGCCTTTGCTATAAGGGTTTTTCCAGTTCCAGGGGGACCAAAAAGCAGCATTCCTTTGCAAGGCTGAAAGAAAAATATTGTGAGCTCTGCATTCAGCAAGGTTTCCTTATCTATTGAGAACAAAAATCATTTTAAAAAGTACAAGCATCTTTAAATTTTTAGATGTTTGATGGTGGTAATTTATAATTGTTAAGAAATTACAACCACAAGTGTTTCTAAGACCTTAAGTGGGTAATAAATACGTGCAACTTGTTTAGTAATAAGCCTACACTTCCAAAGCTGATTTTTGTACTTGAACACTTGGTACTAACCCGAAGCAAGTTTCCACGAGAGAAAAATTCAGGCCTTTTCAATGGAAGAATGACAAGTTCATTCAACGTCTTTTTCACTACGTCAAGGGCACCAACATCATCAAACTTGACACCAATATCATTCGGAGAAACTACAGAAGGAAGAAAGCTCTTCTCATACTCCCCACGGGCAAGCTCCTGCAGTTAAGTAAGGACATGGATAGAAGTTCTAAAATTTGACATCTACGTGTTCACATAATGATAGGAGAATAGATTCATTACCTTGGGAGACTTTGAAAACTTGTTTTTGGATTCCTTCAATCTCAAAATGGCATGTTCAAGGCTGCAGACAATGACAATTGACACCTCAAACAAGATATTGAAAACCTCAATTTTCTAGTAAAGGTCAAGAAAAGACAGATAATTAACCTTGATCTAGGCATATGCAACCGGCCGTTCTTAACAGAAGGAGTGTGGCATGATGAGAGGTGATGATTCGTCGCCCAACCAACAATCTTATCCACTTCTGTAGCCCACAACATAATAATAATAATAATAATAATAATAATAATAATAATAATAATAATAATAATAATAATAATAATAATAATAATAACAATAATAATATAGTAATTTTTTACAAGAATAATGAAGAATGACCCAATTGAAATTTCATGTCCTCTACAATTTTAGATAAAAGTTACGCCAGCCGTTCTCTTTTATATTTCCTTAAATCTTCAGATATTTTGCAGCCACCAAATAAAGTTGCCCTTCCATGCATCTTTAGACATGCATAATCAGTTCATGATATATGTGTACATTTGTACATTTGTGTTACAAATTAAGAATTCTTGCCTCGTCTATTCAATATCAAACCACTGGAATCTATAAGCTCCAGGTCCTTGCATACCAAATCGTGCTCATTGAAAACCTGAAATGAATGAATATGTTTCAAAATCAACTCAGAAACAAATTGATCTCGAACAAAATTCTGATACATTTACCCTGTGCATTGCGCTTATATTTCTTTCAGAAATCATCTTTTTCTCATCTTCAAGAATCTGTAAACCCAATTTCTTCACGACATCTTTTTCCTGCAAATCACAAGAATATAGTCACCTCTTGTTTTATAATCCATAATACCTGCGTGTATTCTTTTTATGTTTCTCTGCTTGTGCATTCACATGTGATAGATATAGCTGGATAACAACAAATATTACGTAGAAGACTACAATATATTGATAATTAGTCAAGGATTCTTTAGCCGCACAACTACCTTTGGGGGCATTATACTTATAATGTTGGGAAATGGCTTGCACTTTTCTTTCTCTTCTTCTCGCCTGCGCCAAGTGTCCTTTACTTCCGTAGTTATTCCCTTCAACTGAAGAAAAAAGTAAAATGCAAACATTCTGATATCACATCGATAATGTAATAAGACATGGCTAAGTTGCAGACTTATGACAGAAAATAAATAAATACATGGCACTACGGCAGCATAACTAACATCACCAGAATGTAAATTGAAGTAACATATCTCTTAAATTTAGATCTACCATTAGAGCAGCTTAAGAATCTAATATAAGGGTAATTTCAACTCTGACGTTTAACCTAAAATCAAAAGATCAGTCGCCTCTCAAATTACAGTAGCCCCTTAAATTGTTACAAACAACATAACCGCATTACTCAACAACTCTGGAAATAGAAACAATTGTCAAGTGGGTATTCGGGTCTACGAAATTATAGTAGATAGCTAGGATCTTTTGTAATTAAGCTAAACTTAAGGGTAGTTATTGAAATTAACCCAATGTAAGTAAAAATGAAAAGGAGAGAGCAAGACAACAACAACAAAGAAAATAAATACTATACATTATTAACCAACTACTGGTAGAAAAAAAAAAATAAAAAAATAATAACGTTAGTGATGTAAGATTTGAGCTAAGCAATTGACCATTTATTCAACCGTATATGGAGTCACTATATACTATGTTCTAAGATTCATATGAAGACATTTGCAGGTGTTTTTAAAACTTACAATACACTCAAGTTCTTCTGATCCAGGCACCGATTTGTTTTGCCCGTAAATCAGAACCTTACGTTCTGGTAATTGATCAAACATCTCTTTCACCTTGCCAAAAAACTCCTCACGTGCTCTCCAGAAGCTCCAGAAAGATCTCTCTGGCAACCAACTAAAATGATCCGGAAAATAGACAATTATTGATGGGTGAGACTCCAGAACCTGCCAATATGGTGGTGAAAGTCTAAGAGAGAAACTCATATTTGAAACTTTCAAGAAGTATTAGTCATTGATATAAAACATGTACCTCACACAGCACATCCATGGCAAGATAACAATCATGAGTTTGAGCATCTGTATCATGTTCGATGTGGTTTGCTGCAAATTAAAAAAAAGAGTCCAAAGCTTTGGTCTGAACCAGGAACTCGTGATTGAGGAAAAATATTTCCTCAAACATGAGGCAAAAAGTGTTACTCAATAAATACAAGAGGTACCAGCAAGCCAATGGACTGGTAGTTCCGAGCTTTTCCCATCACTTTCACCGCTTGCATAAAAAATAACAGCTACTTTTTTGTCTTTAATTTCACGCACCTCCCCTCGCTGACCTTTAGACAGTATCCTGAGGATAAAAGTTTGTAAAGATTAGTTCTAGTTATAACCAAAAACAAACCAAGTATAATTCAATCTTACAGTGACAAGAATTAAGGTTTTCACATATCAACTAACCATAAGTAAAGAAAGGAGTAATAGTTTTTTCTTATTGCTCTATGAAAGAGAAGGAATTAAGTCAAAAAGAATTTGGTTGTCTCAACAGTGGAGAGCGGGAATCATTAAGAAGGGGGGAACTAAACACACAAAATCTACTTTAACTACTTCAGCAAGAAGGAAAGTAGAAACTTCAGAATTGTTCTTGAGAAGGGGAAAAAAGTAGTATTCCCGCAATCTATTGGTTTACCCTACGCTAAATCGCCCTCAAGGAGACAATCAGGGTTCGAATTCCGTAGGTTCATGTAAAGATGTTGGTGATTCATTACCAATAATAGCCTCAAATAAATTATTATTGAGTTGATGGTCTAGCAATTAATAACTAATACAGAAAATACATTTGCAATATTCTATCATAAATTTATTAGTTTATGAATTCAGTGAACAAAGATAAAAAGATATTATTAGCCAGCTCAAAATACGTATTTTCCCGGGAAAGATAAATTACAATGTCCTTTGTGCAAATAGCATATCGATTTCATTGGAATCACATAACAGCCATTTTCATTTTTTAATTCTCACGACGAATTTATGTACAAAGAAACGTTTTCATACTTTCAACAGCTAAAATATCAAATTTTAAGTCAGAAAATTCTGCTGCACAGACATGACGAGTGATGAGGATGTAGTATTTCGGCACTCGCAACAACATAGAGCAAAATGAATAGATTATGTAGCTGCAACAAAATTAAATTCACCTTCTCTTATTCATCTTAATGGAAGTGTCGTTTGGTCCAACATACTTTATTCTATCACCTGATGACAACAGAAAGTTTATCATAAAAAATTTAAAAAGAGAGACTAATAAAAAAAAAAATCATATGGAGCCAGATTAGGAGATGCAAATACCTTCTTCTAAGTTAGAAACCGGTTTTGCAGGAATTTTCTGGCATACAGAACAACAGAAAGGGTTACAGAACAATAGAAGACACACATTACAAATTTAACCAAATTGATATAGCTACCCAACAACATGCGTGATCCTTGAAACTTTTTCACCTGTTTTCCCCCTTTCTGAAAAATCATTAGCCAATTTATTTATGATAAATTGTTCGTGGGGGGCGCATTACGTACCTTCTCGTTGGCTTCGTCCTCATCTTCGCTTTCATCGTCTTCACTGTCCTCCTCGTCATCTGATCCACAACAACCCCACGAGTCTTCATCTTTATTTTCCTCAGATTTGTCGTCAATGAAACCCTAAAAAGTTCACCATTGTTTCAGCTTAGCTAATCTTCAGAAAACTCAACGGCCCATCAAAATGCTAAAATTCAATGTTACCGCCTTCACCGGTGTCTAATTTCAAAATTTTGGTTAAAAAAACCGAACAAAAAGATCGAAATATAAATTTCAGTTCAATTTTGTACTAGTACACCACCCGCGCGATGCGCGGTCTGATATTATAAGTGATATGCATAATAATTTAAATAAATAAATAATTATTTAAGAATTTTATAGAGATAATAAAATATAAAATAATTCTTTGGTTTATCACATCTTAAAATGTTCATTAAAAAAAATCATAACTCAACAAACAATATATGAGTGTGTGATTGAGAAATAAAATTTATTTTTGCTTCAAATTTTTAATATTGAATTCATTAAACTTAAAAAACTTATACGTGATATTCAACGGAATAAGATATTTGTCACATTAATTCCCTGATTTTGTTTTATAAAATTGTCTCTTTAATAAAATAGTTTTCATCATCTTCGAACAAAATAAAGCCAATATTACTATTATACAAATAAACTCTACACAAATAATTGAAGTTAACATATGCGAGTCAATTAGAATGAAGAAGCATAAACTAAATACTTAATAAATAAATACAAAAGGGACTCAAATTTGGTTCTCATATATTTGGTTTTAAATTAGGCACACATTTTATATTTTATTAGAAAAATAAACTCAACAATTTATATTTTAGTATGAAAAGTGTGGCGGTGGTATGATAATGTTGTGCATAATGGATCACTTTTGGTGAAATTACAGATATACTCGTTAATTGTTAAATGTTCAGGTTAATAACATATTACTCCTTTTTTCACTTGGGATTCATGAGATACGTAATTTACCTTTTTTTTTAGAAATGTACGTTGATCGAATTTTCGTAAAATAATAAGAAAAAATATAGAAATTATATTATTATTTTAGTATTTATGTAATATCATTTAAATATTTTTTTCTTATTATTTTACCAAAATTCAGTCAATGTACATTTCTAAAAATATAGTAAATTACATTTCTCATACATCCCAAGTGAAAAAAGGAGTAATTGTATTGATCTGGACATTTAACGATTAACGGGTCTAGTAAATTGTGTTGCACTTTTATCTAATACGACGGTTCAGTAGTAATTTTATTTGTTTTGTATTCACTTAAAAAACAAATTGTGTTATATGAATAAAAATTTAACAATAATGAACATAATATGTAATTTTATTCATAAAAACGTTGTTACGTAATTGTAGATTGATAAAAAGTTAAAATGATGATATTAACAAACTTTTAAAATGATGTTTCCACACAAATAATCTAAATAATGGGTCTTACATATAATATAGCATCTTTTAATGATCATATTAACTTTTCTCAAGATGATTTCAAGATATACTACCTTGAGATTTTCTTTGAAAAATAATCTAAACTAAAAGAGAATGTGTCATTTGTTTTGAAAAAGAAAAATATATAATATATAAAAAGGAACTCACACACAAAAATAGAAAAACAGAAATAATGTAAACTTGTCATGCAAGTTCATAATAATATTTTTTTAATAAAAATTAACTCTTTATTTATGTCTAAAAAATTATGTTACTCACTAAGAGAAGAAATGGAAAAAATAAATAAAATATTAGAAGGCAAATTCTTAATAAATTAATATTTTGAAATTAAGCCTTTTACAACAAATAATTTATTGATATTGTTTAAATTATCTACATAGGATTTGACATATTTATTTGGAGTGCATGTTTTCAGTGTGTTATTATGTATTTACTGTGTTTTGGTTATGTAACTAAATCTTCAAAATTTTATTGTTAAGTAAAAGTTATCCACCATTTTTAGACATATTTTTGTTGGTTTGCACCTAGACTTAATAAACCTATAGATGTATTTTTTATTTTTTTTGAACAATATGTCTATTTTATTTTAATAAATTATATTATATGTAAGACCTGGCTTTTAGTATCTTTGTCATCGTTCTCTCATTGCATTTTCTTTCTATTTTTTTTGTTTATATGCATAATATGTTTTAGTACAAACACATCGATTTCATTAACATAAATGAAGTTTGAAAGAAACATAATTTTTATTGATATTACAATTGTATAGATATGTTTATACCTTTAGTTTTGAGAATAACAGTTAATATGTTATAATTATATGTTTAGTTATTATAATGTTTTTCACCGAAAAATTTACTCAATGAATTAACATAAAAACATCATATAAAATGACTATTTTAATTTTAAATTTTATTAACTTTTATTTTGTTGCATTATATAACTAACCATGTTAGATTTTATATTATGTGATTAAGAATCTATACTTTCAAAATGACCCACGATTGTGAAAGTTGTATAAGTAAAAATAATATTACATTAGGTCCTTATATTGTGGTTCTATAATGAAAAGATATATGATTTTGTAATTGAAAAAATCCAAAGTGGACGGTTTTAGAAATTTAATGGATAAATCGATTGAGGACAATTAATAATTTTTTTTTTTTTGACATTACTCATTATTTTGTTTTTGTTGATAAATTATTAATTGTATTGAGATGTGTAGAATTAGCCCAACATTCTAAATAGTTGCCAAGTTATTTAACATTTCCAATAATATTATATCTATAATATACACAATTCCAATAGGGCTTTAAATTACAACATTTATTGAATTGATCAAACCATTAATGAGTAAAATTTAATATATAATGGGAGGGAAATCAAAAAAAAAATTCAGCTACTTTGCTTTATATAGTTTCTCAGTACACAAATTATCTACAAAATTTAATGTGTATTCACCATGTACTTATAAATACTACTTCTATCAATTACTACATGACCCTTATGAATGCACTATTACAATTTAATATTTCCAATGTGACAAATTATACTTCTTATTTCCAAGAAGACAATTACCCAATATTGCAATCAATACATAAGTTGATTAATAACTAAAATACACATTCCAAGTTTAGACAATATCTAAAATAACATGAAAGTAAATTATGATACAATTAATACAATAATTAATGTAAGTTTGAGCGGGAATTTGACAGCTGCTCCGCTTTAATATATATATAGATGTGCTGCTCATTTTTTTGATTTTTAAAATAATTTGGAGCTATATAAACAATATTATATATTTATATATGTAAATATATATATATATAATGTAAATATATATATATATATATTATTTTTAGCAAATGTAATATAAAATTTTAAATAAAACAGGTTACAAAATGAAATATATTTATTTATATTATAAATTGTAATTTATATCTATTGACTAACAGACTAAATTGTTTACTTCGGTTTGGTTTTAGTTCAATTTATTCGGTTAAATCCTGCCCGTTATCGCAGTCATAATACATTCACACATATATGTTGATCAAAGTAAAAGACACATTACTGGAAGGATGGAACTGAACCGAAGAAATCAAAAACCGAACTTATAAAAATTGCAAAACGAACATACCACAAATAGGAAAAAAAAACAAAACTAAAACCGAACCAATTTTTTCAATTATCCGCAAAATACAAATAAAAAATCACAATTGTAAAATCACATAAATTCAGTGCCATGGGGTATGAACTGCATAATCACAAGAATTGAAGTTAAACATTACATTAAATAATTAGGATAGGTTAAGGTCTAGAGTATTGATCTTAATTCAGTTTTGTAACTTTTATTTTTAGAAAGCCCATATCAACTTTACCTATTAAACTTTGGATGATAAAATTGAGTTATAGTTCTATTCGGTCGAAACTAATGCCTTTGAACATAAAATCGGGTTGAACCGCAACCTTTATCTTTTATTAAAAATCAACGCTCCAAAAAACGAACGACTCAAAAGATCAAGCCGAACAGCTCGGTTTTTTTAGTTCCACGCGGCGTTGCTCTCCCCCAGGAATGGAACTAAAATACTTGACTCTTATTTAATGTATTTTTTCATAAGTCTAATTTATAAGTCAAAGCACAATTCATTTTTTTCATTAGTCTAATTTGTAACTCAAACCAAAATTTGTATTTAGTATTTAGCAGGAATTAAACCACTTGACTATTATTTAATGTCTTTTTTTCATAATATATAGTTTACAACTTAAAGCAAAAATTGTACTAGCATTTACCATGAAATTTCTCGTATGTATACCAAAAACAAGAAAAAAAAAAGAAAAAAAAAAAAAAATTATAGCAACCAATTGATTCACACACGATCCAACAATCCACAAAGAATATGTATAGGGATTTTTTTTAGATCCCAAAGATGTCATTGACAAAACTCGAGCTAAAATAGTTAAGTATAATTTATTCCTTAAAAACAGCAAGAATCTATATCTATATATATATATATATATTAAAAGCCAACCTATTTACCAAAAATAGTAGCAAGAAAAGTCAAC